TGTCGAGAGGGGGATAATCTCGAAATCCAGACCCTTACGAAATGACACGGATACCCCGCCGCTTCCGAGCCTATTGCTACTACTCACAGTATTGAAGTTTGAGAGAGTAACCTTTCTGGAGCCGGTACATCTGGTCTCCGTCAAAACGACGATATCAAAGTCCATGGAGTGCTTAGATAATTCCTCCTTGCAGCTGCGAAAGCCCCGGCAATTCCATAATAAAAACTGGAATTATGCTGTAGGGGGAAGGTCATGCCTTGTTGGGCTAACCATGTCAGGCTCTCCACCTTTATTCCTCCGCCGTTCTCTACCAACTACATTATCATCCTCACCCCTCTTGCCCCGAAACGGTGCATCTCGCGACGCGCGGGCAGCATGCAAAAGAGCATCCATCACAAAGTCTCGGGCCGCAGGAAACCCCTGCAGCAGTTGAAGAACGCTATCCAAAATCTCCGCCGCGGAGCCCCGAACAGGGGCGGCCCGGGCCTCCTCAGGCTCTCGTTGCACTACCTGTGCCCACGAGGTGCCACTACCCGCAGGAGTCCGGGCTAATCCTCTTCTGTCTCTTGTGATGTCCCCCGCTCGGACGTTAAATTGGCCATAATAATTACCAGTACCACCCGCAGCGGGCGTTCTCTTTCTCGATCGGTTCCCGTCTGCACGATCGACTGACGTCCTCGCGTCCCGTCGCGGTTGTGCACCGCCGCCGCTCTCTGTTGCAGAAGCACTCCTGCAGGCCGGTAGCTCAGGCCATGCCGCCGGGTTCACCATACTATCGAGTGGGCTTACAGGTGGGGGGAGTCTTCCCTCAACCAACCGCCGCGCGCTATGAAAAGAAATGTTATTGTGGGCCATAGCTACATTTATATTTTTATTTTTTGCATACGTAGGACATCCACGATAAGTCGATTTGTGCTGACCACCACAATTGTAACAGCACACAGACTTCTCACATTGCCCATGAGATTTGTCACCGCATATTATGCAGCGAGTCTCGCTTTTACAGGCAGTCTTTGTATGGCCGAATCTAAAACAATTGAAGCATTGGCGGGTTAAAGGTACATACGGTCTCACTCTGAGTCCTACGCCGTTCCTGAAGATGGACAAATTCCGTATCTTCTGGGATTTAAAAGTGATAATAATATTGTCGGTTGCAATCATCGACGATTTTTGAGCGGAGGGGTCCCATTTACGGCGATACATCCTCTCCAGTCTGACAACGTTTGATTTGTCCTGCACTACCGCCCATAGGTCCGGGATCGTCGACGGCCAATCTGAAATGACTCCCTTAGAGATGAAAGAACGTTGTTCCACATGTGTTTTTATTTTGGGGGTGTGCAACCCCTCAATCGTATCAAGCGCCCGGTTAGCATCACAAAAGTTATCAAATTCCGCCTCTGCTGAAAAATGATTAATCATTTCTAAATCGGTCGGACATATCTGTAGTTCAGAAAGAATCATCCAGATTTTTATTCTATTTTTGCCTTTTCTAGTAGTCGACTGTTCTGCAGGAAGTCGCAGGATAATCTTGGCTTTACCTGTGTGGTCGTCGTCAAATCTAGCATAACGGTGCGTGTCAATATTATTATTAGGAGAGCGTTTGTGTAAATTGAAATCGAAAACATCGTATGATTCCTTGTCAACAAATATATCTGTGGCGGTCTACGCCACCAACGATACATCCCTGCGCGATGCCTGCAATACCGGCAGTTCGCAGCGACGCCGCCAGGCGTCGCATTGCCGGGGCAGCTTCGCGAGTTCAAAGTTTTGCATCAACGAGTATAAAGGGAGACCCCCTACGGGCTCGAGCAATTCTTCTCGGCGCAAGTCGCCGATGGCATAGAGCGCCCAGACGCTGCAGCCTACCCAAGCGCTAGCCGCTCTCCCGGCGCAAGACGCCTGCTCACGGCGCCAGTCGCTTATACAGCGCGAGTCGCTTCCTCGGCGCTGGTCGCCTACACAGCGCTAGTCGCTCTCTCGGCGCCGGTCGCCGGTACAGCACGAGTCGTTTCCACGGCGCCGGTCACCTACAGCGCGAGCCGCTTCCTCGGCGCGAGTCGCCCGGCCAACCACGGCGCTCGGTCGCCCATCACGGCGCGAGTTGCCGACAGCGCCAGACGCTTCCTCGGCGCGCGGTCAACTACAACGGCGCTAGTCGCCTACAAGGCGCAAGTCGCCCAGCCAATACCGGCGCGCGGACGCCTGCCACGAGGCGCGAGACGCCAGCCAATAACAGCACGTCGTCCCTACATATCGCGCATACCACTTGGCGATACCGCGTCCACAACACAACGCTCCGGTCCGTCACGCGATACAGATTTGCATCCTGGAACCTAGTACGCCCAACAGTAAAGAGACGGAAGGCAAGACGCCGCGTTTGTTCGAGGAGCGATTCAAGAAGAAGGACGATGATCCTACTCGGCGACGGCGGACCCTGCCGATGCCTTTACAGGCCATCCCTTACCGGAAAAGGATCGTGTCGCTATCTTCATACTCGTCCAGAGTGACAAGCGTGCCTAGCACGACCGCGGTTGCAGACGCCGTTAAACTCGCCGAACCCCCTAAACGAGTAAAGGTAAACCCGGACAAGGGCCTGGGTCCCGGCAAAAAGAGGCAGACGCGCGATGCCTCTACGATCACCGACGCAGAGCCGACGATGAAGGACGATCCAGCTTCAGTCACCGTCGGAACTCAGAGTCAAGGCGAGGCATCTCGATAGCAATCGTAATGTAAATAAGGTGTAAATATATTGTATAAACATATATTCTGTGTCTCCTACATTTCTTTTCCCTCCTTTGCGATTCACCTAACCTGGGCGATTCCTACGCACGCCGCACGCACCCAGTAGCTGACTAAGTTAGAATAAGCATAGCTGACTAAGATAGACCACCGCTCTGGAGGAAAGTAGCAGCGCCCATAATATCTAAAGTTCCCACGTTGAGAGCACGCGGTTCGTTCGAAGTGATCACGTGATCGTTAGATGGCGCGGACGAGAAATCCTCATGCGTCTTATTACTATCTACATACGATAAACTATTCTGAGTGGCCGCTTTGTTTATAGAAAGTTCGCGATCCACCGCGTTCGAAGACTTAAGCGAATTATCTATTTCTACTTCCATATCATTCTCGACCGAAAAATCCTCATCGGCCACGTTCCGTCTCTTGGAGAACTCTTTTTCTCTCTGTTGTTTAGACGAGTTATTACGCCAATTACTATTCACAGAACAATTTGAGTCCGTTTGCTCATTATTCGCGATCTCCTGAACTATTTTATCAAATTCCTTCTCCGAGACACTCGTTTTAAGTCTCTTAGCCCCATGCGCCACGACATCCGAAGCGTTCCGGCCGGCACGTACATTTTGCGCGTTGTCAGAGTTCGAGGGCTCTATTGAGAATTAGTTAAGCTAAGCGCTCCCCCTCCGAGAGGGGAGCAATTAATATAGATATATCAGACCCTCCCAAAAACGCGGACACCCGCGATGACTTCACCAAAAAAACGATACTAGCACACCCGTGACTGCAACTCAACAAACCGTAGGCAGCAGAGCCTATACCAAACACGTCCGACTCGCACGACGCGACGGTCCGAGCGGAACTCTTGAAGTGACGGGGGGGGGGTTTTTTCGGTTGTATTCCTCGGATGAGGAATTTTGGTGCTTTGTACACTAGGGTAATTAGCACAAGCGATGTAGACCTAGTCCTTTATTCACACTATCTCCACGATGCACACGTACTTCTCGCGGCCTCCCCACCGCCGCGTATCGTCGCCATCTTATACTCTCAGTCTCGCGATACGATATATCGATTCTCGCCCGTATGTATTCAAATAACTTTACCAACTCTCTTAAAGAATTTAAATATAATATATAGCACGTCCTATTGTTTAGATTTAATAATACGCATTAGATCCAATATTCTCCAAATAGTTCGCATCTCTCAATTCTTTGTCCATCTCAATTCTATAATCATCATATTTATGGCATGTTAATAACACATAATATAAATCTTCTCTCTCGTATCCGCAATCACATCTTTCGCTATCTACATATCCCTTTCTCTTCAATGAAGAACCCAAGTTAAAATGATTCGCTCTCAATCGATTGAACAACGTCACAAAATATCTTTCCGCGTTAATTTTGTGGAACCACGGTTTAGTGGCACCATCATCATAGAAGTGATCAAAGTAAAAAATTCCCTTGTGCGCCGCATCGCGGACGATCGACACCTGTATGGCATTCCATGCCTCCCTCCTATCCTGTCTCCTAAAGTCGCCCACCGGCACCTCGATCGTCCGATCAGCCTCCTCCGAAGCAGCCTCTCTTGCTAGAGCGTCCGCCTGTTCATTACCCGCGATGCCCACGTGTGCTGGGATCCAGACCAATATAATTCTTTTATCAAAAATAGCCTCGAGATCATATATGTATCGTCTGGCCTCCGTGACATATCTATTTTTATGTACATTAATATGATTGTTTTGAATGGCCTGCAGGGCCGACTTACAATCAGACATAATGATGATGTTCCTCTTTCTATGTGGATGTTGTTGGATCATAAGTTGAAGAGCCGATTTGATAGCAAACACTTCAGCCGTGTATGACGAACACGTTCCCGGAAGACTCATCTTAAAAGCAGTATCCTGATCTTCGATAACCATACTGGCACCAGTTGATCGACATGATTCCTCATAAGAGCCATCTGTGTAGATTATCTCCAAATCTGTATCTACATCGTGTCTTTCAATGATCTTATGAATAAGTAACTCATCCGGGTACCGCTCGCGTTTCCTCGACTCACCAGTCAATAAATCCACACGTGGTTCAAAAGTATGTGCCATATAAGGGCCCTGAAAGATTTCAAACTGTCTACTCCTTCCAATGCTAGTTCTAAATCTTAGCTTCTTCCAGATTTCTGCTAACATGGAGAATTTATAAGTCGGCTGACGGAAACGACAATAGCTTTCTCGATCCAATAAACGCTGCAATTTATCACACAGACCATTCTTATTATAAGCAATAGCCCTGGTCACGAAGTTACTGCCCAACATGATGGCTCTGTCTCTAAGTAGCATCACTTTAGCCTCAGCTATCAAGACGTTATTGGGAGTGCTGTTCCTGTAACCCAGCGCGGTCCGGATGCCCATATATTGTGTTCTCTCCAACCTAATCTGGGTTGCAGAGTCCCTAGGGAAATAGACGAAGATTCCATAATCAGTAATAGATCTCACCAAGCTTTTATAGAGCATGAGTGCCGTGTTGACCTCCATGCCCTTAGCCACCCTGCACAAGTATCTCATAACGGAGTTAGCTCGATTGACCTTTCCTCTGACCTCCTGAACTTGACGATTAAATTTAAGACTATTATCCAACCAAATGCCGAGAAATTTGGCGCCGTCACTGTTACATACCCTGCATCCTTGAATGTTGATGGTCATATTTTTGTCCACATACCCGTTCCTATTAAATTCGACCAGGACAGTCTTCTTAGGTTCCAGGTCCAGACCGATCCGTCCCAAAGTCACAGCAATGATGTTGACTGCTTGTTCCAGCAGAAGGCGATTGCGCTGGCGATCATGTCCCGAGACGTACATACCAATGTCGTCCGCGAATTCCACCATCTCAACACCCTCCGGGAGAGCGTCATAGAGAGTCCGAGTAAAGAGCGAATACAAGGCCGGACTAAGCACGGCGCCTTGCGGGAGGCCCCTGAATACGAAGCGATCTATGTGTTCACCGGAGTTAACAATAAATCTTACTTTTCTTCGGTATAGCCAATTTCGAACGAAATTGACAATGCCCACAGGACAGCCAAGCGCCATCAGCCCATCCAGCATAATACGAAACTCCACACTGTCATATGCCGATGATACATCAAGGAAGGCAGCCAGGGTGTACTCCCTCGCACTCAATGCAGCACGGATATCCGATGTAATTCTCGCCAAATTATCAGCGCAAGACCTCCCCCTTCTAAAACCATTCTGAGACATACTAAATTTGCCTTCTTTCTCGGTCCACCAAATCAACCTTTCATTAATCATCCGCTCCATGAGTTTTCCTACACAAGATGACAACGATATTGGCCGCACTTTCTCCTTACCAGCTTTGTCAATAAAAATTACTTGGTAGCAGGACCAGTCCGTAGGAAGGACACCAGTAGACCATACAATATTGAACAATTCCAAAAGGCAAGCCCTACCCGATTCAGGTAGAAGCCTGAGCATTTGATACTCCACACCATCCATACCAGGGGCAGAGTCCCTCTTGACCATTCTAATTGCTCTATCCAATTCTGATCGTATAAACGGCGCGTCAAGCTCCTCATCCGTACACAAGTATTCCGGCTCAACTAACGGGTTGGTGCCCACATATGGTGGGGCCAGGCCATCAATAGTCTTCCTGATTTCCGATTCTCTATCCTTGGTTTGCCATTTATTCCACTCTATATTTTTACGGGCATTTTTCAGAATACGCATAGTACTCCAGACATAAGAGAGACTCGTAAATCTATTAATACTCTTACAAAAATTTTCGAAATTTTCCTTTTTCGCCTGATTCAAAATTTTCTTAGTGATAGCACAATGTCGTTTGTAATTGGTCCATGCTTGGATATTTTTAAATCTCTTGAATTCAATGAAGGCCTGCCTTCTATCCCGAACAGCCGCATCGCAGTCCGAATTCCACCAACTGTGAGATCTTTTTATTTTCCGCGGGTCATTCGGGGTAGAACGATCCGGATCCCCGCGTCTGCCAGAAGCCCGGAAAACAGCCGTCTTCAGGGTAGCAATAAAATCCTGATAATACCTTTCAAAATCATCTCTGAACATAGGCAGGGCAGGCACCAGTAAGCAATCAATCTCCTTCTCAACAATTTCCCGATATTGTGACCAATCCGTCTTCTTAGAAGATGTTTTATTTGACAATTTTCTATAAATACGTGTATTGATATCCACGAAGAAACCGATGGGGACGTGATCGCTGTCATAAGATTCTCCTAATTGTTGATAATCAATGTTGCCAGCAACGCTGCCAGAAGCAAACAGAAGATCAATATTGGAGTCTCTCTGTCCGCTGCAACCAATACGAGATCTAGTGTCCACATTTATGCATATCAAACCTTCATTAGCCATGACATCATGCAATATCTCTCCATTATTATTAGTTGAATCACAGTTCCATGCAGTATTGTGAGCATTAAAGTCGCCAAGGATAATAGTATCACTTGGATTACCATTAACGGAGTTGAAAACTGCATTAAGGTCACGAGCACTCATCCCAGCTCTGGGGTGTCGATAAACCGCGACAATGTTGATATTATTTTCAAGATTCGAAGTTTTGATGCCAACCATATCGTACATTGCGGGGGAAGTCCCGGCAATTGGTAACATATCGAATGCAATGCATGACCGAACAGAAATAGAAACTCCTCCACTTCCAAGCAAGTTCCTACTCTGGATTGTTCTAAATCCAGAAAAATATATCAAATTATGACCAGAACACCGAGTCTCTGTAAGTACAATAATATCGTAATCCATTGATAATTTTGATAATTCATTTTTATGGCTTTTATAACCTCTGCAGTTCCAAAGGAGTAATTTGAATTTTTAAGTCGAATTAGAGCGATATTTATCTTTGTTCCTACCATACCTTAAAGATTCTCTATTTTTCATTTCCTCATAACTTTGTGTATTATCTAAATGCTGGAGTAAACCCCCTTCCTGTCCATCCTGCGTCCCCGACAGGGCCAGGGCGCGAATCAGCTTAGTCCGAGCTCCCGGTACCCTCTGAAGAAGCAACAAAATGCTCTCGATGGTTTCCGTGATTCGTTGATCCTCCTGGTGTTCCATTCTCGTATGGTTGTCCTTGGAAGGGATTTCACTCCCCACCCGGCGACTCGCTGAGAACATAATACCTCTCTTCTCCCTGGTGATTTCGCCGGTGCGGAGGTCAAAAGATTTATAGAAATTTCGCGGAGCTTCATAAGTTGTTCTCCGTTTGTCCTTCGTTGAATAAAGTGGGGGATGATCCCTTTTGTCTCTCTGTGTTGAGATAGCAGGCCCACTCGGGGCTCGTGGCTCCGCTCGTAGGGCCTCAGAGTAAGAACTGGGTCCAGCCGATAAAGAGAGATCCGGCCAGGATGCTGGATCAATAAGCTTATTTTGATATTCCTGTGGAGAATCTGGCGTCACTCCCTCCACAATCTGTCTCGCAAAATATACTTTCGAGAGTTACATTACAGGTTAGGTAACATTTTTGCTGTGTGCCCATGTATAACAGATAGACAAGAGTATAATTTCAATAATTAATTACTCGACAATCATGCAGACATGGAAGACAGATTCTCATAGACGAATATTCTCCATAAATTTGAACTAATTCTTATCAAATATTTCTTAGTTATAATATCTTAAGATTTTTATTCCTACAAACGTGGTGATAGTACCGATGGCAGCGACTCTTGCGGTCACAAGGCGAATTATTTTCCTTACTACTAGAATCCTTACCACTAGAAGTTACTACAAAATCTGGAAAATTTTCCGGGGATTTTTCCGGGGAAAATTCCGGGGAAAATTCCAAGGAAAATAATTCCAATAGAAAATGCCGAATTGTGTAGCTTCTGGATGCTACAATTCGTCTAAAAAAGGCGCAGTGATGCATAGCTTTCCACGAGCTTTGTAACGTAAAAAAAAATGGATAGAAAATGCTGGTGGACCTTCAGGATTCCAAACAAAAATTATTTATGTGAAGTATGCTTTGTATTTAAGAGGAATTGATTTATAATTATATATATATTAGCGATTTGTTATTGTCCACAAGCATGAGGATTCTGGCGTAACGTAATATATTTTATTTATATATCAGTGAATCAGTTTGAATTGTGAGGTATACGTTTGAGAGCTTGCCATTGAGCCACATAAAAACCGCTACTCTCTGCAGTAACAAATTATGAATCCTTACTCCAACTTCCTATCAATGATAAGATAGGAAGATGGGATCCTGATAAAATTAAAGTATTTTAATATATTGTTTTATTTTACAGTTTCATTTCACGCCTGATATGTGGGAAAAGGTACGTGTTGATGGAAGAAAAAAATTGAAATCATCTGTTATTCCAATAATTTTTTGAGAACTTGTCATTCAAAAGTATGAAAAATGGTTGCAGGTAAATAATATAGTAATAATATTTGTTTTTAATTAATTCGTCACATTCAATAATTAACACACTCATGGCTTATATCGATATTTTTTACATCAGTATATCATATATGACAGAAATTTATAAACTGCATGCCAGTCATATTTGTATAGTTTATTAATCGTCAAGACGTTAATAATCTTTGATACTTATTAATGTGCATATACGCATGTTGTAGAATCCAACAACATATACTACGTTTACACGAGCGTTACTTCTGTAGTAACACTCGTTTACGCGGAGTAAATTATCGTAAGTTACTACAAAATCCTGTTTACGCGAAGGAAAATACCGTTTACGCGAAGGAATTATCGTAAGTTACTACAGAAGTAACGCTCGCGTAAACGTAGTAATAGATGTACTTGTAATATACAAAACATATTAACATACATTCTTATACTTACAGATATTATAGATACGCAGAATCCGGCGCCGCGGCCAAAGCGCGTCATTAGCAAGCCAATAC